GACTCGACAGACAGCTTATCCGACGAGAACAAATACCTTCACCGTGTTTTTACGAAGAACAACTACAACAACGACTTCATCCGACGAAACACTCACCGACCCACTACCACTACCGAAACAAACGACACCGCAACCCCTACGACTACAGCAACCATACCGTACATAAAAGGCATGTCTGAAAACATCTCGCGCATCTTACTACCCTTCAATATCCGCGTCGCCCACAAACCCATCACCACACTACGTCAGTTACTAACCAACGTTAAAGACAAAGACGAACCGAGGAACAGACAGGGAACGATTTATAAGATCAATTGTTCCGACTGCCAAGCCTCCTACATCGGTGAGACTGGCAGAAACCTCACAACAAGACTGACTGAACACAGACGGGCGACGAGGAAAGGTGATGTCAGCAATCACATTGCTGAACACCATCGACTTACCAACCACAACATTGACTGGGACTCTGCGCAATGCCTAACCTACAGCACTGACTATTTTCAACGACTGACTCTGGAAAGCTGGTTTACTAACTTAGAACAGACTCCCCTAAACAGATGTCAACAACTACCCGCTCCATACAAACGACTCATTCACGACATAAACATCACAAACGACCGAAAAAGAACGACCTAACTTTACCGACAGATCGAAACAGACCAATCACGACCGACTTACGTCACTTGAGTCTTACAGCCAATAACATCACGGCAAAACCAACCGATCATTTCACACGAACTGGAATAAGAACATTCTACTGACAACAATCATTCACTTGACTCTGATGATGACTTCCGCACAGGTTGTCGAAACGTCAGTCGCTACCACCGACAACAGTCCATCTCAGGACTACACTCACCCGGACGATCAGACTACACCTTCACATGTTACCCCCGGGTTCAAACCATTTACTGCACTAGAGTACTTAATCACTTGCTAGGTATCATGAACGACAGCAGGAAAGGAGCTAACAGGCATTTTCTTAAAGAAATTAAAGACCAAGCTCATAAAAATTGAAAAAAAAAGAAGCAGTTACCCCTTTCAAGATTTTGTTCTTCAGTTCTTGTTGGGTCAGAGGTCGCTGGTCATCCTCGGAACCTGAAGAAGCATCTGAGTCGTAATCATCACCAGTTGTGGGCGGAACAATCGCCACTGAAGTCATTCCTGGCTGAGGTCCTTGACCCAAAAGACCCACTGCCACGGCCGGTTCACTATCACCATCAGTTTCCTGGAAAAGAGGTAACAAGAGAAGCACGATAACAACAATCGCCACGAAATCGGACATAATCACAGAACATAGTAAGTTACATTATAATATAGTTTACCTTTGAAGAGACAAAGCCGTGGACTTGAAGAAGCTCATTTGTTCTTTGCTCGATTAACCCAAGGAACTAAAATCAAATTACAAAGGAATTTAATATACATGTACAGAGGTATCGCCTCAGTAGATTTAGTGGATTTAGTGTAAAGTTACAGTGTTAATATGCTTTTGAAAAGCAACTACTTTTAAGCCGTTTTAATACAATAAAGCAAGCATTAACTAAACCGTTTGAGGAAAAGAGCAAAACAGGAGCATAACAAAAAGATACACATGCGTATACACCAGTTGGCCATAAATTCACTTTGGACACTATACTGTAAAAAGCATCTCTCTATCCTGTGTCACTGGACAAATTCAAAGACACTTGAAATTGTAAAATGACACCAAGGTTCCAAAGCTTTCTTTGATATTAAACAATGTGTCTCCTCCAAACTTAATTGTCAGCTGAATCAAACTTACAGGACCTCAACTTCATTCGAAACCTTTTTTTTTCATTTTATTCATAAATTTTTTAACATCATCAAAAAGTCAAATCTAAGGAGGGCTACGAACTGGAACCACCTAGCGTCACTTATGTTTAGGTCATTTGCCTACAAATTCAAGTTGTAGAAACGTATTAACTCGCCCAGAAGTGAATAAATTAGCCTGATAAAAGAGGAAAAAGAGTAACATTCCTTCGATACCTGCATCATGTTGACATCTGTAACCCCTGATGTTCCTCCTAGCATATCTGTTATGGCGCTTCGGTCACAGTTGATCTTATTAAATAAAGAGTCCACCCCTTAAAATTAAAAGGAATACAGTACAATTATTGGCTAGTCTTTGTTTGTTTATTTTTTTTTTTTCGGTTTATTTTTTTCGGTTTATTCCAAAGTTTGCTCCACTGCTATTACGTATTTTAACAAACATTACAGACAGGTCTGTGAAACAGAAAGCATAAAATGTGGCACGATGAGAACTTTTCTCGTCATTGCTGATATGCCCTTGGAATATAATCTACTGTATGACTTCACAAGGCATAACCTTGTTTATCACGGGTAAATTCGAACAACTGAAAGCATTTAAAGCTGACTGACACTCAAGTTAAATTAACTTACGAGCTGAAAACTATTGCAGATCAAGCGAGCCCTAGTTTAGAGGTAATTCACCTGATTTGAGTTGTTCAATGATTTTCTTGCTCTGCTTAAACTGCGTGTCATACTGATCAGCTTGTTCAGTGGAAGATGACAAGTTGTCTTCTAAACCTTTCAGAAGGGCCTTCCTTTGGCTTGCCATCTCCACTTCCTCACTTTTGAACTTCTCAATTTCTGCTT